GTGTGTGTGTCTGTGTGTCTGTGTGTGTGTGTGTGTGTGTGTGTGTGTGTGTGTGTGTGTGTGATCTTAGACGAGCATCTAACAGGAAGTGTCTCTGCACAGATCCTCCTTCCACCCCGCTGCTCTACACCAAACAGGAAGTGGAGATGGGAGAGGGGAACGTCCTCGTCTGTCATGTGACCGGTTTCTATCCGGCTCCTGTGAGCTTCTTCTGGACAAAGAACGGAGAGAACGTGACTGAAGGAACCAGCATCAACGTTCCCTTCCTCTCCAAAGAGGGTTCCTTCAGCCAGTTCTCCAGACTGGAGTTCACCCCCCAGCTGGGAGACGTCTACAGCTGTGGGGTCCAACATCTGGCTCTGGACCAGCCGCTGACCACGTTCTGGGGTGAGAGCTTCATGTGAACTCACACCAATACAAACTGACCTGAGGCCAGATGTTCCTGTCTCCAGGTGTCTCCAGATGTTCCTGTCTCCAGGTGTTCCTGTCTCCAGGTGTCTCCAGATGTTCCTGTCTCCAGGTGTTCCTGTCTCCAGGTGTTCCTGTCTCCAGGTGTTCCTGTCTCCACGTGTTCCTGTCTCCAGGTGTTCCTGTCTCCAGGTGTTCCTGTCTCCACGTGTTCCTGTCTCCAGGTGTTCCTGTCTCCAGGTGTTCCTGTTTCCAGGTGTTCCTGTCTCCAGGTGTTCCTGTCTCCAGGTGTCTCCAGGTGTTCCTGTCTCCACGTGTTCCTGTCTCCAGGTGTTCCTGTCTCCAGGTGTTCCTGTCTCCAGGTGTTCCTGTCTCCAGGTGTTCCTGTCTCCAGGTGTTCCTGTCTCCAGATGTTGACCTGATGTTGTGTGTCTCCAGATGTTGACCTGATGTCTCTGTTCTGTCTCCAGATGTTGACCTGATGTTATCTGTCTCCAGATGTTGACCTGATGTTGTCTGTCTCCAGATGTTGACCTGATGTTATCTGTCTCCAGATGTTGACCTGATGTTATCTGTCTCCAGATGTTGACCTGATGTTGTGTGTCTCCAGATGTTGACCTGATGTCTCTGTTCTGTCTCCAGAGGAGCAGGGGTCTCAGCCCGGCGTGGGACCAGCAGTCTTCTGTGCTCTGGGTCTGACGGTGGGTCTCCTGGGAGTGGCTGCTGGGACCTTCTTCCTGATCAAAGGGAACGAGTGCAGCTGAGTTCAGGGTGAAAGACCCTCAGCCTCCAGCCTGAGTACCTGAGGAGATCACATGATCACATCATCACATGATCACATGATCACATGATCACATCATCACATGATCACATGATCACATCATCACATGATCACATGATCACATGATCACATCATCACATGATCACATGATCACATGATCACATCATCACATCATCACATGATCACATGATCACATGATCACATCATCACATGATCACATGATCACATGATCACATCATCACATGATCACATGATCACATGATCACATGATCACATGATCACATGATCTCATGATCACATCATCACATGATCACATGGTCACATGGTCACATGATCACATCATCACATGATCACATGATCTCATGATCACATGATCACATCATCACATGATCACATGATCACATGGTCACATGATCACATGATCTCATGATCACATGATCACATGGTCACATGGTCACATGATCACATGATCACATGGTCACATGGTCACATGATCACATGATCACATGATCTCATGACCACATCATCACATCATCACATGATCTCATGATCACATGGTCACATGGTCACATGATCACATGATCACATGATCTCATGATCACATGATCACATGATCACATGATCACATGATCTCATGATCACATGGTCACATGGTCACATGATCACATGATCTCATGATCACATGATCACATGATCTCATGATCACATGATCACATGGTCACATGGTCACATGATCACATGATCACATGATCTCATGATCACATGACCACATCATCACATCATCACATGATCTCATGATCACATGGTCACATGGTCACATGGTCACATGACCACATCATCACATCATCACATGATCTCATGATCACATGGTCACATGGTCACATGGTCACATGATCTCATGATCACATGATCTCATGATCTCATGATCACATGATCCCACAGAGGCTTTAACCCTTACTTTGATAACCACACTTCTGTATTTTAAGTTTTTTTCTAAAGTAAATGTAATCAGTTTTGACCAATAGGAATAAAAATACTTCTCATCACTCGTCTCTTGTTGTCTTCAGGATACGATATGTCTAACAGATGTGGAAGTTACATTTCTTATATTCCTTAGAGAGCCCTTTTCTACCTTCTCCTGATGTTCAATGGGGCTCAGAGTGACTTCAGTGCTCACGCTGCAGTCTGAATGATGACCATGTGTGTGGCCTGAAGGCATGTTGACGCAGGGCAGCAGGATGAAGACAGGCTCTGCTGGTTCTAGCTCTGATAATAATGCTGTGATCCTTTTGTTTACACCTCTGATGAAACCTGTCTGAAACTGTTTCCTGATGTTCCCTGAACTCTCTGAATGACCTTGTGATGAAACCTGTCTGAAACTGTTTCCTGATGTTCCCTGAACTCTCTGAATGACCTTGTGATGAAACCTGTCTGAAACTGTTTCCTGATGTTCCCTGAACTCTCTGAATGACCTTGTGATGAAACCTGTTTTAAATAAAGATTGAGCTTCTCTTAGTTGTGTCTTTATCATCATGTTCACATGTAGACCACCTCCAGTGTCCTCATTGGTTAACTCACAGGTAGAGGAAGGGGATTGGGCCAGGTGGGGGATCTATGACCCTCACACTAAGTGCTAAACAGCTGGCTCTCAGCCCAGGCTTCATATACTCTCTCTATGTGTTCTAGGAATGAACCCTATCTGATTGTTCTAAAGGTGTGCTTGTGTTAGCCCCATTGGGCTGCCTAAGGGCTGGGGTTAAGGGTTGGGATCTGGGACCTGTCTGTTCTGGGGACTAGTAAGGGTAACTTAAGATTGAAAGGGAACTTAAAGCCTTCTTGGAGTAAAGTTACAGACTAAAACTGGGATGGTGTTTAACAGCTGAGTGAGTGAGGACAGAACACTCTGGCTTCATCGTCATGTAGCAGCTGCAGTGGAGATGAGGACAAACTGAAGTCCTCCTCCAGCAGAGCAACATGAATATAGGACATAAACATAAAACAAATAAAATAGTGCAAGAGAATACAAATAAAATAGAAATAGTGCAAGACGAGTAAATGTCATATGATAGATAAATAATTAGCAAGATGCAAACAGATGAACTCTGCTGTGTTAGGGTGTCTCCTTAGATCACCTTTTAAATGTATTTGTTATAACATGGCCCCCCATGTGTCATATCAAAATGTTCAGGACAGTCTCTGCTCTCGGTATAAAGTCACTCACCAGAGCACTGTGTGATGAGATCAGTAGCTCTGAAGCTGAACATTTGACATCCGATTTCTGGAAATCTTCAAAACTCTTGTGAAAAAACAAATGTACTCATGTCATCCAATTTGGGCGTTTTAGATTTGGTGACCAAAGTCTTAGGTTCACAAAAGCAGTGCAATATATGAATTACACTTTGTATAAATGTGTAATTCGATTGGATGTTTATCACTGTACTCTCACCACAGCAGCGAGAGACATCAGACTGAATCATGACTTCATATTACATACTAAGGTTCATGTGATGTGTACAAATACACATTTTATATTATTTATATTAAATTACTTTATATTAAGGTACACAAATTAAGCATCAACTAGTTGTTCATTAACATGCATATTAGCAGTTTATTGGCTCTTTATTAGTCATTATACAACACTTATTAATGCGTTATTCTACATGACCATATTCTACAAGTAATAGGCCATTAGTTGAGTTTTTCCTCAATAACCCTCTAATTAGTGCTGATTTATTGCAAGTAAGGAAGTTGTTGTACATGAGTCTTGGTCTTTGGTCAGTGTATGTTTTGGTCATTGGGTTTTCTTTTCACAAATGGAAATTCAAAAACAAAAAACGACTGGATATTTGATTTTAAAATCGTAGTCGAGTCCGAGTCCAAGTCCGAGTCATCATTACCTGTGTTCGAGTCCGAGTCCAAGTCCAAGTCCGAGTCACCTAAGAAGAGTCCAAGTCACGTCCGAGTCCCAAGTCTTCATGTATTAATCTTCGTGGATATATGTGTTGAAATGTAGCTGCTCCTCTACATTGCTTTCATCCTGTCACTTAGCATGCAACATGACGTCATTCTGCATGCTAAGTAGCCGTGTGCTTTCGTGTTATCGGCTGAATCTTTATGTATTGATTAGATGACGTTACTCTGATGATAGTGTTCAGCCTATATGTCTGAACTCGATGTTTAGAGTAATGTGTTACGGAGCCTTCTCTTCAATATTGTTTCCACATAGAGCATTTTGCTGCTCTTTTCCAATGTGGAAGCAGAATGTGTGAAAGCATACAGCACGATGCGGGGTGTGTCTCTAGACATCTTTAGACTGGAATAGCGGGGCCCAGTACGTGAACTCGCCTCGCAGCCGGTGCACACGCCAGGATAGAGGACATCAGACTCCATAGAAAACTTGCTCGAGTCCGAGTCCGAGTCCAAGTCGGAGCGTCAATGTACAAGTCGAGTCCGAGTCATCATGGGGGGAAAAATTCACGAGTCCGAGTCCGAGTCCAAGTCAGCGTACGCGATAATTCACGAGTCCGAGTCCGAGTCCAAGTCCGAGTCGCGTCAATCAGTGCGCGAGTCGGAGTCGAGTCACGAGTCCCGAAAATCGGCACTCGAGTCCGAGTCCAGGGCCCGTTCTCATGTCTTCAAATGTTCCTCCTCGACTCCCCTCCTCGACTCCCCTCCTCGACTCCCATCCTCGACTCCCATCCTCGACTCCCATCCTCGACTCCCATCCTCGACTCCCATCCTCGACTCCCCTCCTCGACTCCCCTCCTCGACTCCTATCCTCGAGACTTAGTCCCACCCACAGGAGATGCGAGCGGAGGACTCAAGGAGGTGAACCGAGGAGAGAGGAGGGGAACCGAGGAGAGAGGAGGGGAGCCGAGGAGAGAGGAGGGGAGCCGAGGAGAGAGGAGGGGAACCGAGGAGAGAGGAGGGGAGCCGAGGAGAGAGGAGGGGAGCCGAGGAGAGAGGAGGGGAAACGAGGAGAGAGGAGGGGAGCCGAGGAGAGAGGAGGGGAGCCGAGGAGAGAGGAGGGGAACCGAGGAGAGAGGAGGGGAACCGAGGAGAGAGGAGGGGAGTCGAGGAGAGAGGAGGGGAACCGAGGAGAGAGGAGGGGAGTCGAGGAGAGAGGAGGGGAGCCGAGGAGAGAGGAGGGGAAACCGAGGAGAGAGGAGGGGAGCCGAGGAGAGAGGAGGGGAGCCGAGGAGAGAGGAGGGGAACCGAGGAGAGAGGAGGGGAGCCGAGGAGAGAGGAGAGAGGAGGGGAGCCGAGGAGAGAGGAGGGGAACCGAGGAGAGAGGAGGAGAGAGGAGGGGAACCGAGGAGAGAGGAGGGGAAGCGAGGAGAGAGGAGGGGAGCCAAGGAGAGAGGAGGGGAGCCGAGGAGAGAGGAGGGAACCGAGGAGAGAGGAGGGGAGCCGAGGAGAGAGGAGGGGAGCCCAGGAGAGAGGAGGGGAACCGAGGAGAGAGTAGGGGAAGCGAGGAGAGAGGAGGGGAGCCGAGGAGAGAGGAGGGGAAGCGAGGAGAGAGGAGGGGAAGCGAGGAGAGAGGAGGGGAACCGAGGAGAGAGGAGGGGAAGCGAGGAGAGAGGAGGGGAAGCCGAGGAGAGAGGAGGGGAGCCGAGGAGAGAGGAGGGGAACCGAGGAGAGAGGAGGGGAACCGAGGAGAGAGGAGGGGAACCGAGGAGAGAGGAGGGGAGCCCAGGAGAGAGGAGGGGAGCCGAGGAGAGAGGAGGGGAACCGAGGAGAGAGGAGGGGAGCCGAGGAGAGAGGAGGGGAACCGAGGAGAGAGGAGGGGAGCCGAGGAGAGGAGGGGAGCCGAGGAGAGAGGAGGGGAAGCAGCAGGCGGTTAGAGAAATGAGAACTCCTCTCCTCTGAGCGGTCATTTTAAAGAGACGTCCATTAATGATGACAGGAGGCACAGCAGCCCTCTGTCTGATGGACAGATGTGTTCATGACCACTTCTATATTTACTTTCATTCATTCACAGTGCGGTGTAATGAGACAACAGGCTACAGATGAGGTCACACACACACACACACACACACACACACACACACACACACACACACACACACACACACACACACACACACACACACACACACACACACACACACACACACACACACACACACACACACACACATATATTTATATAAATATATACAATTTCAGAATCAAACAGAGCACTCTCATAATAACGTAACCCTATCAGAGACTGGATATATCCCCCCCCCCCCTCTCCCCTCTCTAGTCGCTACAATGAGGGAAATAAATGACGGGCCAAAAGTTTTATTTACAAGTATTAAAAGTAAGCAGAGGACACCAAACCAACTGAGACCTGTCTGTCCGCTGCATCTACGCACACACTGTACCACACACACCTACACACTGTACCACACACTGTACCACACACACCTACACACTGTACCACACACACTGTACCACACACACTGTACCACACACACCTACACACTGTACCACACACACTGTACCACACACACTGTACCACACACACCTACACACTGTACCACACACACTGTACCACACACACTTACACACTGTACCACACACACTGTACCACACACACTGTACCACACACACCTACACACTGTACCACACACACTGTACCACACACACCTACACACTGTACCACACACACTGTACCACACACACTTACACACTGTACCACACACACCTACTATTGAAGTATTCGATGTTCTCGCGCCCAGGAGAGGAGCTTAGAATGAAGAGACTAATGGAGTCTCCGAAAAGGTTCAAATTGGTTGAGTTTAATTAAATGGCACGATGATACAACAAGCAGAGGGTAAGGGGAAAAGACAAAGCCGGTGATGTCTCTCGTGAGGCTGCAGCGAAGAAGAAGTCTTCCCCTCCCCGATCTCCTTTATCCTCTCCTCGTTCCCTCCCGCTGTGCAGATAGGGGGAACGTCCTTCTCGGTCTTCGATGTTCGACATCGCGTAAAACAGAGGACTTCAACATTCTGTATTCCCTGCCTACTTCCTTAAACCTTTTCTCCTCCTTATCTCTGTCATGACTTTCTATTTAATACCTTATAAGCAGCTGTAATAGTTAGTTTAAAACATTGTTAGCGACATGCTACATACTGACCGGATATGAAGGATTTTCAGAATAAAAGCTTGGCATTGAGATTTTATGAGAACTTCCGGGTTTTTTCACAATAAAACAGCTTTTAAACTGGCGATATATTTTAGACTAATTATGCTATTAAACATTGATTTTAATTTCTAACACTACACACTGTACCACACACACCGACACAATGTACCACACACACCTACACACTGTACCACACACACCTACACACTGTACCACACACACACCTACACAATGTACCACACACACACCTACACAATGTACCACACACACACCTACACAATGTACCACACACACACCTACACACTGTACCACACACGCACACACACCTACACACTGTACCACACACACCTACACCACACACACGCACCTACAGCTCCTAAAGCATATCATC